CTTTCGTGCACGAAGGTGACTACAATGTGCCATTATAAATTGCAGGTGAGCAGATTTATTTGATACATTTTTGTATCTTTGTCATTTTATTTCGTTACCATGAATTTAATACTAACGAAATAAAATGACAAGAAGAAATGTAAAATAAAATTCATTTACTCACCAATGTAGTGCCTGTTCACTGAGGTGCAGATCTACGCGAGTGTCCCCAAAAGTTTTTAAACGCACTACAATAATGCAGCTCAGTCAGTTAGCTTGACTATGCAGCCTCAATTCATCGTCAAGTCAGCCGCCAAAATAAATAATAAGGCATTGATATCTATCTACAGTCCGACTTGTTTTCTTTAATTGTGAAGTTGACCCTTGTGGCGCGTTGCGTAGCGTATGAACAACTGTTGTGGCGGCTTGCTAAACGAGGCTAACTCCAGACCGTTAGAAGGTGGCCAAACACATCTTCGGAGAGCCGCCAGTCAAACGGTTCTCTTCGCGTTGCTGTGCAGCACAGAAATACACAGAAAATATAGTTCACCACCTTTTAAAAACCTGGCTTATCAGCTAGTACTGTAGACTGGAGAGATTGACAGTGTAACTGGAAGCTATAGGAGTAGTAAACGTTTGAATGAGCCAGATCGACTTGAATGGAGCAACCATGTAGTAAATTCAAATGACCTGAAACCACTACTACTGATAACAAATCACACAGAGCACTTTAGGGCAGCAACCAGAGCTTTAAAACTCAAACACACATGATATCAGGTAGGCAGTGTACTGTAGTACACAAAACTTCACATTTCTACCAGGGTACTGCGTTTCGGGTTCACTCAATCAAAGGGGTATGTGCATCCTTCTTAAAATATAGTGGTTGCAAACATCAAACCAAAATCAACATCTACCCACTAGTGAGCAAGTCTGCTCACCAACACTCCAAGTCAGGTTTTGGGACAAGAGGTGTGGCCGCAGGCTTCCTCTCCTATTTATAGTCTCCCAAGGCCCTAAAGTGTTTGACTGTTCTAGCACCCTGGAGAGGTGAGGAGGGTATAGCTGGTCTCTACCTCTCACACATGCAACTCAAAATGTATTTTGATAAAACAATCAATTGAATTGTTTGAGTAGGACGCGCGCCGAGACCCTTGCGAGGATACACGGATCAGAAAATGGATGGATGGATAGTAAGGCGCATTCAGAATTTCACTCTAACACCTGAGCACTACTCTGACAGTGTGTGTTCAGAGAGCCAAAGTGCACTCTCTCCTTCCATTAATATAGATAGCAACCTAAACTCTAAACCAGCGGCAGCCTCTCACCAAGCGTGGCGCGCGCCCTACTTCGCACCTTAGCCCGACCGACCCAGGCCTATCGAGCAATCAACCCATGTAATTGAGAGAACCATTCACTCTCTCAATCACATCTATAGACAATTTAGAGTGTTCCATTAACTCAACTCAACTCAACTGTATTTATAGAGCACTTTCAAACAGCCCTCGTTGCATACAAAGTGCTGTACATGGAGCAATTCAACATATACAACAAACAGTAAAGCAAATCGGTAATAAAGACGGTGGAAAGCACCGAACAGCAAAACCAAGAACAAATCTAAGTCATGCTGAGTCAAATGCCAAAGAATACAAGTGAGTTTTGAGGCGAGTTTTGAAGATGGGCAGCGAGGAGGCTTGCTGAATGTTCAGTGGGAGGTCATTCCAGAGAGAGGGACCAGCAACAGAAAAGGCTCGATCCCCTCTGACACTCAGCTTAGTTCTTGGTACTTTTAATAAAAAAACCTGCCATGCATGTTTTTGGAAGGTGGGAGGAAACCGAAGTACCTGGAGAAAACTCACGCAGGCACGGGCAGAACATGCAAACTCCACACAGGAAGGCTGCACCCGTAATCAAACTCAGCACCTCTGCATTGTGAGGCTGACGTGCTAACCAGTCTACTACCGTGCCGCCCTTCAACAAATACAGCCATCCATCCATCCATTTTCTGAACCGCTGTATCCTCACAAGGGTCGTGAGGCGTGCTGGAGCCTATCCCAGCTGTCTTCGGGCAGCAGGCGGGGGACACCCTGAACAGGTAGCCAGCCAATCGCTGAGCACACAGAGATGAACAACCATCCACGCTCAGACTCACACATTGAGACAATTTTGAGTGCTCAATCAGCCTGCCACGCATGTTTTTGGAATGTGGGAAGAAATCGGAGTACCGGGAGAAAACCCACGCAGGCACAGGGAGAACATGGAAACTCCACACAGGAAGGCCAGAGCTGGAATCGAATCCGGTACCTCTGCACTGTGAGGTCGACGTGCTAACCACTGGACGACTGCCCCCCCCCCCAACAAATACATTATACAGTACAGTACAGTACTTGAAATTTGCGTTGCAGTACCAAGCTCCTTCGCATCCTGTCGGCCTTTATTGTGAAAGAGTAAAGGGAAGTCCAATGTGTTTCAGTCGCGAGTTTTGATGGCTAGGCGAGACCACGCAAGTATCGCTGCAAAGGAATGAAGCCAGAATATTGGACGTCTGATTAAATAAAGATGTCTGAATTGCATTTTCTCTTCTTTGAGAACAGTGAGTATTCTACCCTCCATTGCCATTAAGGAGTCGTCTTCCAATGGAGCTACTCGTGTACGTTCGCAGAGGGGAAAGCTAAGCTAGTGCGGACTTGTGTCGCTAACATTTGTTATTTGAGACAGAGACTGGGGGTAACGTTACCTTTCCGAAGACGTTGGTTAAAAATGGTCGTGGTTTGAGTACATTATAATTTTCTAATCGTTATCACCTTAAAATTACAAATGTATTCAAACGAGCTAACAGCACGTAAAGCTCATGCTAGGTTGTTATGTTGAAAATGAGATGTGCAGCTAGCTGGAATTTCAGAATCGAATTATTGAAAAAAAATACAGTGGAGGAATGTGACGTCGTTGATGTAGTCGTACCGTTTATCCCTGTGCGCACACATAATACACTTATACTTCACCGATGATGTCATAGATAATGTCATGATGCACCACTAGAGTCTTCAATGAATGAAGTGTCACATGAGGTTTTTACTGTATGTCGCAAAGGGGAGTCCCTGATTTCTGCATGTATTAGGTCTGAACGATTATAAAAACTAATTGAGATGATGCAATGTTGAATGCCATCACTGTGTTTTATTTTCAAGGTCTCTTTCAATGAATTTTAACCAACAGGCGATTAATTAATCTTCATTACAATAAACAATATCAATTCTGTTCTAGATGACATGAAGCATGAATCAATATGAAAGACAGTGTATTGCTCAACAACATAATTGTACCACACAAGTGCGAGTAAACATATTATGGTAGGCCTATGTATCCTATACTGTAATCACTCAGCAATCAAACAAACTAAAGCACAGATTATAACAATAATGCACGCAAATCTATGGCTTTACCACTTTAACCTATCCAACTTTTCATGAAACAAGGAATCACTGATATGTACACAAGTGGACTGCACTGAACACTGAATTTATGGACAATGATACATAATGACAGTGTACATAGCCTATTTAAAAAATAAAACTTTTCCAATTTCCAATCAGTAATTTCACACCTGCTACAATGTAGGGAAAGTACGATTATAGGTGCTTATATGATGCAACATTTTCCAATTTCCGAAGCAATGATGAGCCACAATATTCTTGACTTAATTTCAGTAATGAAATCGGATGATGCAACATATGGCCACATACAGACATATTTAACTTCAAAATCTATGACAACTTAGCAGCGCGCTTTTATTTTCAATCATTTAACTGGCGGTTTGTAACGTCACTGTTCAGGAGCGCCTGTGCGCAAACATTCGGGATGCGTGTTTTGGCACTGCTGTCGACTGGTTAGCAGATCTGCCTGAAAGTGCAGAGGTTGTGGTTTCAAATCCGGGCTCTGGCCACAAAGTGTTTGTGGTGGCCATTTGGTATTAAATTAATTAAATAAAAAATTTATAAAGTTTGACAAGTTCAGCTCGTGGCTAGCACGGAGCTAGCGCTAATATGGACACAGACACATACAACTGTGTTTATGTAATAGTGCTAGCTCCTTGTTAGCATCTTAGCATTCATTTTCCCCGTTCTTGTGTGTGTGTGTGTGTGTGTGTGTGTGTGTGTGTGTGTGTGTGTGTGTGTGTGTGTGTGTGTGTAACATCAGGTCTGGTGCTCCAGGGCACCCGTCTCCAGTGACAGCCACAGTGGCGTGTTGTTTCTCTGTTTAAATGTGTATTCAGGAACACTAGTGAAGGCAGCAGTGGCGGGTTGTTTACATCCATGTTTTACACGTGTATTCAAGCTGGTCCAGGGCACCGCGGGCACGGTCATGTTGCCGTTATAGTCCGGGTGCTCTGAAGCTGTCTGCCTTCGAATGAGACAGACCCAAATGCTGTATTTAGCACGGAGGTTGTGCTAACACATACAGCATCCATATCAAACTCGCGCAGGCCGCACTTACATTAAACTTTCACATCAAGGCGGGGGCCTCATACCAGCATCCTGCGAGCCGCATTTGGCCCTTGGGCCGCGGGTTTGAGACTTGTTCTGGGTACTCTGGTTTCCTCCCACATTCCAAAAAGAATTCTGACATATCATAAAAAATATCTACACATTTCAAAATAGCAGTTTTGATGATATCGACGGCGTTTCATCAGCCATTTATACATCCAAGCATTCCTTTTCTTTACCCCTAATCCTAAAGGACCCTCTGGATCTCTGTACCACAACACATCCGCAACTGTACTGACCTCCAATCCTTCAAATTATTTCTTAAAACTCAACTGTTCCGCAATGCTTGTAACACCTTTTAATCTCTTTTACCCATTCCTGCTTTGTTTTTCTTCCAAATGTGTTTGTTTTAAATCATGTATGCTTGGCTTTAAAGTGGACATTTTTAACCCGTGTTTTAAACTCTTGTAAAGTGTCTTTGAGTACGATGAAAAGTGCTTTCAAAATTAAATGTATTATTATTATTATTATTATTATTATTATTATTATTATTATTATAAAGGGTCACAGCTGAGCTGGAGCCTTGGCTCACCCTGGACTGGTTGAAGGTCAATGGCAGGCTGCACACAGACAATAGAATTTAGTTTCATAGGTCTGAGCAATTAAGAGTCAATTAATATTCTTTTCTGAAATGTGAGAGGCAGCCCACACAGGAAGGCCCACCGATTATGAATATTAACTTTCAATTTGTTTTTTGAAAAATGTATTATAAAAATCTTTACCCCAGAAGGAAAAGGCATTGATGTTGATGTTGTTGTTTTTTTCTTATCTCCCCCACAGATGACACTGTAAACACCATGATGACCTCTTCTGTTTCCAAATGGCCAGAAAACACAATTGCTAAAATATAGTATAGCGCTTCACACCAGATCAGAGTGTAGATAATTAGCATCAAGACTCAGCATTGCAAATTCTTCAGTTTGCATGATAAATTGATTGTGGAAAGGCCCACTTTCCACCCACATTGATATCATAGGTCAAATCTAATAAGTTTCTTACCAATTAAAAACATGTTTTCTGCATTGAAAAAGCTGGTGGGATCTGAGCCGGGCCAGCTCAGGGACAAGAACATTCCCGCTGGCCTGCAGTCCATGAACCAAAGTTTGCAAAGACGCTTCGCCAAAGGGGTCCAGTACAATAGTAAGTTTTCAACCATTTTCCATTTAGAAATCGGACCACCAACATGGCTGAGCAATCTTAATTTGAAAATGTACTACTTTGTAAACTGTATACAAAGAGGAAGCTCTTCCTTTTATGGCTAGATTGACTCACCTTTTTTGCCCTGGCCATCTTCAAGGCCTGCACCATTCATCTGAAAATTCATCTATGAATGGACTAACAATGCCGCTTATTCGCCCTCAGGAGAAGTGATGTCACCGGTCATCTTACGTTGCCACTTGCTAAGGCCGCCTAACTTGAATACGTTGTTTTCTTTGGGACATTTTTATGTAATTTCCTTCTCTATGGCAGAAAGGTGACCTTGTATGACGTATAGTTGTACCAATAAGACTGGGAAAAGTGCTACAAGCACATTTCATTTGTAAAGGCCGTATCTGGAGTTTGTGAGTGTATGCACATGGCGAATGTTGTCTTTTCATCAAAGTTTGTTCTCGGTCGCAAACTGTCGCGAAGACATTCGCCAAGAGTATTAATGGTCGCAAACAGTTTTTCTCATCGCACTGAAATTTTGAACATTTTTGTGCACCCCACAAGTGAAAATTGTGATCCGTGGAGATAGGAACACTGGAAAGAGCACTTTATGGTATCGACTGCAGGGCAAAAAGTTTGTGGAAGAATACATCCCCACCCAAGAGATCCAAGCTACAAGTATCCATTGGAATTACAAAAGTAAGTGTTTTTTTTTTTTCCAACACCTTTACACAGAAAAGTCTGGTTAATTTTTATTGGCATGTCTGTGGTTATTTTTTGCTCATGTATACACATTTACATGTGATGTTGCCTTTTTATTCATTCCAGTGGCTCCATATCAAGGTAAACTCGTTAGATTTAGCCTGATTCTGGTACCCGTTCAGTTAGCTTTTCAGTATTTAGCAAAGCGCCTGTTCTTCTTGTAGTGTTCTAAATAATAGAGCAGTAGCTCAATCTGTGTGAGAGTATCATCATAATCTGCGTGTTAGTAAACATTTCCACTTCAACACTACACTTTGCTAATGAAACTCCTCGTATTTGTGTTTCTCAGCTACTGATGATGTGGTCAAGGTGGAGGTATGGGATGTGGTTGACAAAGGTGAGTGGCGGCGCTAAAGTGTGTCATGCTCTCAAGCTTTTTTGCTAAGTCTGACCTCATCGCCATAGATCAAAGTGCTGAATCTCATGACTCCATGTGTGGTGTTTGTCTTGTTTCCTGTCCTCAACTCATCATTTCTTTTCTGAACCCCTCGCGCTCCTCTCAGGCCAAAAATATCCGCTTCCTGAAGGTGTAGGTGAGCACCACTGTAGTGTGTACAAATTCAATGCTGTTGTGTGCAGTTAGTATGCTCCACCGTCCTCCACTCTTATCTGAGAAGAAAATTCTCAAGGTTTGCTGTTTGGCTACGCCTTTAAATTTGGCTGTTTTTTATTTTGCTGTGTGTAGATAGTAGCACAGATCATCTCCACATCTGCTGACTGATAGCGATGTTTGTTGACTGTACTTGAAGCATAACTTATTGAAATGCATCTGTAAGCTGCATTTCCGTAAGAAAAATGTGTTGCTCTGCTTGCTCCGCTCATGAACCAACATAAAGCAACATACTGACTCTAAGACAATATTTTATGTAAAAACCTCATGCTTCTGATATCTTGATCTTTCAGGCAAAGGCAAAAAGCGTGGAGACAATTTGAAACTTGAGAATGAGCCACAAGAGGTAATATCAGTCACATGACTGTCATGTGTGGAGAACAAATAGCTTACTTGTTAGGATGGGGGGGGTGACCAATCAGTTACCAATATCAAATGGAAGCATTTATTCTTGTGTATTATTATCATTTCATCATTCCCAATATTTGTGTGTTGCAGTCAGACGAGGTAGCCCTTGATGCAGAGTTTCTAGACGTGTACAAGAACTGCAATGGCGTCATCATGATGTTTGACATCACCAAGCAGTGGTGAGAATCCTCTGTGTGTCACATTGTTTGCGCACGAAGCGCTTCGTAATACCATATGCGTGGAGGTGGAGGCATTAAGTTTCAGCGCCATTAAGTTTTAACCCAGGGCTGTGAGTTTTCTCTGGGAGGAATCAATCATTGAAATAACAAATGATAAACTCATTACGCTGTGTTATGTTGCAATCAAATAAATGTGACAATTTTGACAACATTCTAGCATCAATTTAGCTGTGCATTTGTGCAAACACATCTCCAGTCATTTAGGCCTGAGTAGCAGGCAATACAGACAGACGATTTTCTCTTATGGAATATTGAGGTAGCAGGAGCAGTAGTCGTAGTAGTAGTACTCGTAATATTTTAGAGTGGTTAATTGCTTGCTGTTAGCATTGGCCATGTTTGGGTTGTTTTAAGTATTGCTGTTGGCCGTCACACTCCCCTGGCGTGCAAGATGAGTTATATACAGTCACCTGTTTTCAAGAGGTCTGCTTCCTTTTGAAGTTGCCAGCCAACTGCATTTGGTTAAAACAGGTCCTGTATAGAGAAGCTGAACAGCACTGACATGCTATCCCCCCCCCCCCCCCATCAAATACATGTGGAAGAAACACCCTTAGTCTAATTAACTCCACCTTTGACATAGAAGTTCCTACTGGATTTGTTTGGTTGACGAGCCCAAAAATATAATTATACTGAGGTCTTCCCGATATATTTTCAGGACGTTTAACTACATCTTAAGGGAACTTCCCAAAGTTCCCACTCATGTACCGGTGTGTGTGCTGGGAAACCACAGAGACATGGGTGAGCATCGGGTCATCCTTCCTGATGACATCAGGGAGCTAATCGCTGGACTGAACAGGTAACCATCTCACAGCAAATGCCACATTTTCCTAATACAAGACAATAGCATCAATGAAAAAAGGGAAATTATAAGTGTGTGGAGGAACAACAAAATCCAGAGCAGAGCGATTTAGACAAAATAGTATGTGGCAGCATCATGTTTTCTTCATTCCTTCCTTCCTTCCCTCATACCCACCTACCTACCAAAGTACCTACTTAAGGCTGGAAGCTGCAATTGTGGCCTAGGTCAAGGTGGAGCAAATTTAATAGTACCAAATACTATTCAAAATTAGCACAAAACTATCAGGCGTTTGCTAGAAAGTTAAAAAACCAAAAAAAATCAAAAAAATAACCAGAAAAAGCGTACTAGAATACGAGAACATTCAAAACAAAATGGGGGGTTAATAATTTGTGTTGATGAGTTTGAATGCCATATCCCCAGTTGTGAGGGTGTGCACACTTGAGTATACACCTAATTTCAGTCGTTTGTTTCGAAAAATAACTTTTCATTTCAATTGAATTTAGCAGATTATATATCACATTAATGGTGAGAAAAGATTAGAAATTGTTCATCGTGGTCTAATGCATTTTTTTAAATATAAAAAAAACAAAAAAACAAGTATGTGATGCCAAATAAAAACTCAAATGTCATGAAATGTGTTGTCCGTTTGAAGAATTTGGAACCTCCAAATGCAGCTTTAAAGCGTTGTGTTTTCCAGGCCAATGGGCTCATCTTACATCCACTATGCTGAATCCTCGATGAGGAACGGCTTTGGCCTAAAATATCTGCACAGGTTTTTTAACATCCCCTTCCTACAACTCCAGGTAATCTGCTTTCCTCGTTTGCCACGAGTAGTATTTTGCACTTGCATATCCTAATCTTTGCGATTTTGTGTGTGCAGAGAGAGACCCTTCTGAGGCAACTGGAGACAAACCAGTTGGACATGGATGCCACCCTAGAAGAGCTATGTGTGCAGCAGGAGACAGAAGATCAAAATTATGAAATGTACAATGTCACTTCCTCGCTCATTTTATGCTATTTGTCTTGATAGTGTCACCCTTGTAACTTCTTTGACATTTTGCTAGCTTCCTGGAGAACTTGGAGTCCCGCAATAAGGGCTATGGCTCACCTGGTCCAGCCAACGGCCAGAGTCCCTCCTCAGGCTCCCAGTCCCCCATTGTTCCTCCAAGTGGGGCCTCCACAGGAAGCTCCAGCCCAAGCACACCTCAACCTCCAATCCCTTCGCAGCCATTCCCACAGTCGCCCTCTGTGTCGCCTCCCTCGGCTCCAGATCTGGCTGCTGCCGTTGGCAGAGCAGCCTCGCCTTCAGCTGAATTAAAGTCTTCAGCTCAATCACCAGAGCACCTTCAGTCCTCCGTCACACCGGTATCGGCCCCCCAGAAACGCAGCTTCATGTCTCGATGGTTTGGCTCATCGCCCGTCCCTGAAGCTTCTGTTAGCGCATCAGGTACGACTACGCTACACGACAACACATTTTGTTTTTGCATATTGCAAAATGGGTAGAATAGAGGCTCTTTCCAGGAGCTCTTTACTTTAGTCAAAGTTTCATCATTCGAATTAATTCTTGGATGAAAAGATGAAGTGGCATATATGAACACCAGAATTGCAATGCTGCGGGCCTGCTGCTAAAAGGCTGTCACTTTCAGATCTGATTAAGCTAAGTTGAAAATTGGAAAACTAGTACTTTTTCAAATGCTTTTTTAATAGACTGTTGTTGCATGTACATCTTGGATATACAAAGTCTACACCCATGTTCAAATTTAAAAAAAAAATGAGTTCAAGATAATTTGCAAATGTTTTTTACCGTTAATGTGAGCCATACAATGTGCAACTCAATGGGGGGGAGTCAAAATAAAAATTGAGATGCGTTTGGAAAAGTGTGAACACCCTCTTATAAGTGGGAATTGGGGTGTGTTCAGAATGAACCTATCACGTTCAAACAAGAGTCAGCACACACGCCTGTCACCATTTCAAGTCCCCCTGATTAACCCCAAGTCACGTTCAGCTATTCTAGCATTTACTAGTATTAGTACACTTCTGCAGCTCTTTTCGTGTTGCTCTCTGCCTCTTTGCAGCCTCCCTGACTAGATATCTTATTCTTTTAATAATTTTGGAGGGTTGGTCCTGTTCTTGGTGACCACTCCACTTGTCACTGACTGTCTTCACTGTCTTCCATGCTATAGTTCATGCCTTGGAAGTTAATTTCTTCCATTGTCCTGACTGATACCTTTGAACAATGAGGTACTAGTAATGCCGTGGAAGCATCCTGTGGCTTTTGCTGTAAGATGTGCCGACAAAAATGTCACAACATCTGAACTTTATTGTTTCATTAATCAGAACCACTTGAAATGGTGGTAGGGGTGTGCTGACTTCCTTTTAACGTGTGGTTGATTGTGAACACAACCACATCCCCTGTGAAGAGGGTGTGCACACAAACCACATGATCTCAGTTGTTATTTTTTTACTTCCCATCTGGAAAATATTTTTATGTTCAATTGAGTTGTACAGTTTTGGTCGCATGAATGGTGGAAAAAGTTGTGAAACTGTTTATCTTGGTCTCATTGTTTTCTATCATAAAAACCTGCCATTTGTACAAGGGTGTGTAGAGTTTATATACATAAGTAGAGAGCGGTCACAAGGCTCTAGCCTGAGCCGTTGAGAAATTCAAAGACCGTGAAATACGCACAGGAATCGAGGGTATTAGAATGTCATGTGATGTCACTGTTTCATTGCCACATTTGGTATCGGAGGATTGCAACAGAGTTGAACTGCAATTAAAGACTTTAACTTGATCAACAGCAGAAAAGATTGTACAGTAACTGTTATCTTACTCGTGAGCTACTGCAATGTTTTCCTCAGAGGACCTACCTGCACCAGTGTGTCCTACTCTCGTACAAAGCGTGGATGACTTTGTGCCAGATGATAGACTGGACAGGAGTTTCCTCGAGGACAGTTTGCCGTCAAAAACAAAGGTGCCTCAGCCAGCTCCAGCAGCGGACAGTGACAGGTGAGCACTTAAAATGTTGGTTTTGGGGGAGTATCGGTTGTGATGGAATGTATGGACGATAATTTTCATTTATTTAGATGTTATTGTGACTGTTTTCTATTATTTAAATTGTTTCTATCATTACAAAAATAAATATTTAAAGAAATGCAACATTGCATTTTTATTTGACAACTTGGTACATTTTCACAATATAGGGCTTATTTGTATTCATTTTCTTGAACAAAGAAAGGTCACATTGAGTTCCACTAACTCTTCTCATAGGGAGCCCTGGCCAAGACAGGCAACAGATAACAGCCTCAACAGACCTGAGGCAAAACAAAGCTACACACAACTAAACATTACAATTGACAGACTCCACACAGTCGCGCAGTAGAAATCCAGGTGTGAAACAGAAAACGGAAACATGAAACAAAAAAAGCCATCAGGTTATAAACAGTTGTACTGTTCCGTCATGATTGCTTTGAAAGTATTTTTCAAAGTACTGAGTGGTGGGAGTTATTCCAGATTTAATATGTCAGTTTTTCTGATGCCCTCGTTCTGTGAATGCTGTTATGGTAAGGTTTGAATTGTAAAGAAGAATTTTACCTAAGTGCTTTAACAATAATAAAAACAACACAATAAAAAACATCAGTGCATGAATTTTCCTTCAAATGTAGCGGGAGGACCATTGCACAGTTGTGTACAGAGGGCAGTGGTAGGTTCGAGCTGGTGCAACCGTCATGAAATGTAGGGCTCTGACTAGGAGATGCCATCTATTTCTTTTTGGGTTTTTTTTTAACAGATGAAGAAACATACATATAAATTGGGTCACCACATAGTCCAACACTGATTTAAAAAAGTGAACCACGTGAACCTTTCCCTTTCTGAAAAAGTAAAGCACTTCTTCATTCCAAAGGGAAAAAAATAACTTGGGTCGAAGTCAGTGGTTCTTCACCTTGTTCGAGCTACCGAACCCAACCGGTTCATATGCACATTCACCAAACCCTTCATTAGTGAAAATTAAAGAGTATGATATTTTACAAGTTGAAGACATTAAAAAATGCATTTATTAAAAACAGAAAACAAATAAACACAATTAATATAATTATCAAGTACCGGTATATGTTTTTTAATTGTGCACAAAATGAACCAGCCAGTGATGGCCAAGTGGGCGAGTCATAACAACCGGTAATTGACATATTGAATCGGGCGTGTCTTAATCTCCATGGCAGAGGCTCTGTTGAACCCCTGAGAATGATCACCAAACCCCTAGGGTTTGATCGAACCCAGGTTAAGAACCACTGGTCTAAGTTTTTTTTTTTTTTTCCTTCAATGGTCTCACTTTGAACAAAAGACAGCTTGTCATCCAACCAAATACCAAAGTATTTGGAGGACGATACTTTCTCTATTGTAGTGCCATCCTGAGTTACCTTATGTGGGGTGGGGAGGGGTCTCTCATGAGTTATATCACAACAATCTGATTTTGCAAAAATATTAATGTTATGTTTTTATCGACTTTGCTTGGAGGTATTTTGATTTATACACTTTGCCCATTACACCATATTAGAGACACCTGAGTATGATGTAGAGCACAGGTGTCAAAGTCAAGGCCCGGGGGCCAGATCTGGACCGCTACATCATTTTATGTGGCCCGCGAAAGCAAATCAAGCATGTCTAGTTCCATGATGCTTACTAAAGTCGGAACCAAAATTTCATATTGTCATATGTAATCCACAATAACAGTTATTATTTTTGACTTCTGATTTTAAAACTAGTTATTCATCAATTTGTTGTGCGCTGTGTATGTAATATCTGGAGGGGATTACACATTTATATGGTTTCCCAAAATTCATAACGGCCTTCTCAGGAAAACCGTAACGACAATGTGGCCCGCGACAAAAATGAGATTGACACCCTTGATGTAGAGCATGTTGGAAAAAAAAAAAAACATCAACAATCACATTACATGACATAGACATACACAATATGCAATGCCTGTATATGTTATTAGTTTGTTTTCTATCCTAGTGAGTGTGACGACAGAGGAAACCCCATGGTGTCTGGTTTCCAGGATGAGCTTGATCCTGATGATACAAGGCCCAACCTTCCACAGTCTAAAATGCTGCCTCCCAGTCAAGATATCATTCTGACCAGTGATGAGGAGGACCAAACACTAGTGGCCCCTTCTGTAAAAAAGGACCAGGACCTGGACAGTGAACCTGAACTGAAAACGTAAGACTTGTCACATAACCAAATGTGTTGGGTGGAATTATGCATGTTATTAGAAGTTGTCATGTGCTTTGACTCAAAGTAAATTAGCTAGAAACACAATAATTGCACTCAGCGGATTATGGGAATCTACTTGGTTAGCAATTAAAATTTTACTCGACAAATCAACACTAATATCGTCGCTGTCCTGAGAAAAACACACATCCATTTTTGTAAAAAAATAAATAAAAATTACATTAATGGGATGTCCGAAACGCACATCTGTGTGTCTGTATATTTATATATCTATATTTATCTATGTGAGTGTGTATTTATTCAATTATTTAACATTTATTAAAAATGAACGAGAAGGCCGTGCGTTCTGTCTCTCGGAACAAACACCCTCTCGGAGTGGTATTAGGGCGTCAGAGTGAATGTTGGAATGCACTATTTGGAACCAGGATTTTGAATGCCTGCCCAAGTTCTAAATTTAATATATATAAGTACACCTGAAAATAAGTCGCAGGACCAGCCAAACGATGAGGAAAAAAAAGTGACTTCTCATCCAAAAAATACAGTATTCGTACTGGTACTCGGTGTGGACAAAAAGTGGTATTGCTACATCCCTAGTTGCTCTCTTGTGATATGTTTGTGTGATATGTATTACCAACTGTTACCATTCTACCTAACTTAGTAGGCTTTAGCACTAAAGTGTGTGTCCATTGAGGCACAATATATTTGAAAGTTCCTTTTCCCCAAATCTCTCGGTTTCAGCTGCATGTCCAAACCAAAGGTGGCATCAAAGGCGTCAGAGCTACGAGACCAGCCCACAGCTCCCATCTTCCTCACTTTAATTCCAACAGAAGAACAGCCCACCCAGCAGCAAGGAAAAAAGAAAGGGGTCTCGCCTATTGCCGGGGACTCTGATACAGACCCTGAAGGCCCGGTGGCCCACCAGATGCTATCTTTTGTGATGGATGACCCTGACTTTGAGTCTGAAGCATCAGACGCACCAAAAATAGCAAAGGTAAGGTAAAACGGACTTGACAGTGTAGCATGCATCTGGTTGTATAAAACGTATCTAGAAACATTCAAAGAGCGTATTATTCGTGGGCAGGATGAGGAGGAGGAAACAGTTGATTTACAGCTGTAAAACGTGAGGATGACTTGGCTTCAACAGTATAAAAATAAACCCGAGCTTCATCAGTGAATGCTACACTTGTCAACCGTGATATTTTACCGTCAATTATTTAACTTCTTGTTCCCACATAAATAAATAAATAAACAAACAAACAAACTCTCTATCGGTCATAACCATCGTCCTATTTTGTTATCCTCAGAGTACATTCCCTGCAAGGGATGAACTTCTATCTGACCTCTCAGATGATGACTTGCAGTCAGCCAAGGTGCCAAAACCGGTGAATCCCACTGTGATCTCCTTTAAACAACAGGATGTTACCGACCTTTTTGGCCTTGGCATCCAAGAAGAACCTTCAGCAACCAAAGAGAGCAGTGAGGAGCAAGAAGGTAAGATGTTGGAAATGTTCCGATATGTCGTTACCATTGCTTGCGTAGCATCGTTGCTTAGGAACCAGTAAAATGTTGACTTGTTAGTTAAATGTCAACGTTCCGCAACAGTGATGGTTTTTGCAAATGACCACCTTTCTGCCAAACTGTACAGTCCAGGTCAGCTCTTCACTTAAGGTGCAGAAAGGTAAACCCCGATCGATCTTGCGTCCCCATGACAGGATATTATACGCTACAGAAACAGACATCAAAAGTGTCACATCATAGCAGTATGTCACAGTGTATGAGACAGTAAAGAAAAGGCAACAATGCAAGAGCTCCATCTAGCCCAGGGGTGCCCACACGTTTTCAGCATGCGAGCTACTTATAAAATGACCAAGTCCATTTTATTATACATTGTATGTATAACTGCAGGAACCCAACTTGCACAATACAACGAGTGTACATTTTTTGTCCTTACTTTACTCTGATGACTTACACTGAATGAAATCAGCCAGGGATGAAGTCAGGACAGAGCTGAGCACCCTTCCCAATGAACATCAGTCATGTTGGAAACGTACTTGGACTTCATGGTTTTTATCAAGGAGCCGAAAATGCCGCTCCACATTTCTGTCCGTCGGTCATCCATCAAGGGCACCGGTCAGCCAAGTTGTCTCAGTCCCCACCACCACCACACCAACCGGCAACCGCGACACGGCATCCGAGGCCCCCGGATGGCGTGTTTTTTTTTTTTTTTTTTTTTGGTGGATGGGGAAAAATCCTCCTCACCCTCTGTATGGAATGGAAGTACTTGGCTTACTTGATCCACTTATCATTGTTTTACTTTATTGTTTACCTTAGAGTTGACGGAACAAAATGGAAACTGCTTGTAAGCTAGTTTTGCCAGATAACGCTCTTGGAGGCATGCGACAGGTCTATGACTGGCTGCCCTGTACATCAATCAAGTGACAAATTGTGCAACAGATGACATGCGGGAATCAACTTTTTTTAGGAACGCATTCACCGCCATTGACAGGCAGCTGCAGTATATTATATCAATAGCATAAAACTGTCAGGGCTGGCAATGATTGAGTTCATGCCATGAGAGCTACTGACACTCCCTGCGCGATTGACCGTTGACTCACGATCGACATAGTGGTCACCCCTGCCCTGATCTAGCCTTGAATGTGGTCGTTTAATTCAATTCGGACCTTAGTTTGGACAATAGGAATGGAGGAGAAATACCTTTTTCTCAAAGTGACAATTCGGTCAACAAATTAAATGAACTGCAGTGTGTTTAGCTTCACCCTTTACGGCAGAAGTGGTAAATGGCAAGTTTTAAAAGAAAAAGTGATATGGTACGGACAGGGTGTTCCAGTACACTTGACATCTTTTGCGAACTTCAACACTTAGATGTGGAGTGGTGAGCGTAAGAGGATGCTCCGTCAATGGATACTATCCTTGTACAGTACATCACACATCTAATGTTGGCCTTTTTTTTTCATTTTCAGAGAGAGAAAGCAAACAGTCCTCCAAAGACAAGAAGAAAAAAAAGAAGAAAAGTAAAGAGGTGAAGCATTTACGGGGTTTACATCTTGATGTAAAAGGTTGCTCCTGTTTGAGTTGAAGCCATTGATTCAATTTTGCTGTTCGATTCTCAGGAGGACGAAAAGAGTAAGAAGAAACATAAACACAAGAAAAAGGAAAAAGATGACGTTGTTGACGACAAAGAGAAAAAGAAGAAGAAATCGAGGACCAAGAAGACAGAAGTGGATGAGCTGGAAGACTTTCTAGGAGGAGGGTCAAGTTCCGCCAAAAGAGATGATGGAGATTATGAAGAAATATAAGATGTCCCCGTTTATGAGTAAACTGAACCTGGGAACAACCGTGGCAAGGAGTGAGATCACAAACTGGTCCCCTGACTTGTATGTGCACAAAGATGTATATCCCAAGCCATACAAAATGCAATACACGAGGCTACCAACAACCACCAGGTACAATGGACACTCTGGATGCGGCCCTGTTTGTTCCTTCTGGTCTGATCGAGTTTTCCTTGACTGCACTTTTCTGGTGTCTTTCATTCCATTCGGTTAGTAACAGCAAGGAGACGGAAAACTGACGATCAGTAGAACTGTAATCTCTTTTTTTTGGGGGGGTGGTGCTTTGTGTGGACATTTGTGAGTATTTGTTACTTTTCAAGAAATCCACTTCCAGTTAGTCACTATAGTCAGGATTACCATTCTGTCAGAATCTTGGTGTAGTTGGAATAATGTTTGCCAGCATGCTAGAAGTAACACACGGCTCCCCTATTCTCTCTGTCCTCGTACTGTTTTGCTTCGACATGTAAAGGTACCCCCCCCCCCCACGCCCCCGGTTTACACCTTTAAAGTTAAAAAGAACAGAAGGTTTTTGGAGCAAAAACTATCCTGCACATCTGTACAGCAACCTGCGATGTTGTCCAGACTCCTCACCGCTAACATTGGAGTTTTTTTGTTTTTTTTAAAGAGCAGCACATTTCATCAATTTAATTCCAGCTGGTCTTTGTCATGCCAGTCCACATGCAAGGGGAGTTGGAGACAAATATATGTGCATTCTTTTAATCTTGTATGGTGATATAGTATATAACTGGCCTAAAACAAATCACCCCCAAGAAAAATGATTCCATCATCAGTCTGTTTTGTATCTCATTGTAAGAGCTGTTTCAATTTTAAATTATATCCAGGTCAAGGGGTTTTGAGTAGCTTGGGTCAAAGGTCAGACAGACCAGCTCATGTTTTTGTCACGACTTTACGCGTTATGTCTGTCATGTCATTAATGATTTCCCAGAGTGAGACTACTCACACTTTTCTTACGTAGACTATTGTTGGACCAACAAAATTAGCTGTCATAATTCTAAAATTGGATCATTGTGGATGTAGCAAAACTGCAGCTGCCAGATAATGTATGACACATCACATCTTGTGGAAGAATATCACTGTACTCATACTTATTACCACCTCCCCGCCCCCTAAAAGAAAAGCCGCCATCTTTTCTCACAGGCATTGTCTCCATCCAAACGTGTTTTCTTTTAATGCCTTAACAGAGGTCACAATGAACTGGTGTGCTGCTATCATGACTCATTTTAAGTGTTCTTACTATAATCTTAGATTTGACATCAGATTAGCACGTTTGCTGGGGAGGCTCACTGATGAAAACGGTTTTAAGGTTGCCATGACTCGCTACACTTTGTTCTTTCGGTTTTGTTCTTTTGTGCTGATCTGTTTCTGCATGTTGCAATATTTCAATTTTCAATGATCTGATGACTTATTGTCGGATTTGTTTTACGATAGGATGGACTGGTTGTGTTGATGACGTATGATGGTAAAAACGCTCGAACGCAATGCAGCTTTTCATATGTCACTGTGTACAATGCAATGTTTTCCTCCTTTGAAACGGTTTTGTTTGTTTCTACTCGTTGTAGGGCATCGTACGCTGTCATTGCTTTGCTGTAATTTTCAGGCCGGAATGGCTGCCCATGATAGAAATTAAATTTATCCTAAGACTGTGTTGTCCAACATACCCGTGGAGCACGATAAGATTTCTTAAAAGTTTCCAGCTCATCTCTCACACTCCCAAGTTTACACTCTGTTGGTTTACCAAGTATGTTTAAAATTCCGCAGCTGAAACTTTACAGCATTGATCCATTTTTTTTCTCTCTCTCCATATAATTGAGTATAAATGCTCAAATCGGTTTCAAGCAAAGCATGAAATCTGTATGTATAGTGAGGAAAGAATTTATAAATCATGAAAAATAAATGACAATTGTCACTGATTTTCCATGAACTTGTTAAACTGGAAAGATGCAAGACAATTTGTCCTGACAACATATTTTATAGAACTGACATGCACTTTTAAATGTTATTTTATTTTTTCAGGGATCAGATTTCTTCCAAATTGTCACGCCAATAACATCACTGCCTAACTCTCAAACATTGTAACATCTGCACTATGGAGAATAATTTTCTCCAAACATCTCACTTGAAGGGAGTTATGTTATTAGCATGACAAAATGCATATACAGTATAACATTTTTTAAATGAATCCCATAATTTCTTCCCTGCCCTACGACATGTTCCATCTTTACACTGTGTGAGTTTGATTATGTTTGGTTTGTTCCAATAAATACAAACCTATTTCTCCAGAAGCTGCAATTTTTTTTTTCCCATAAAAACATTGTTTTAATGTAACTGGCCAAAGTTCACCTTTACTGTAACTTAGGGAGTCACGGCTTTAGAAAAAACATGTACAGTAAATATGGAAGTTGTGACTTGTAAGTGGTTAGCAGGGAGAGACCATTTTGCTTTCCAACCAAAGTGGGCCGGTAGCATAGCATGAAAAAAATAAATATAATAACTTGATGGAAAAATTGCAGCCTAAATGTCAAAAGCAAGAAGTCACAGATTTGCTGGAGCCTGTGTCAGGTGACTTCGACAGAATGGCGTCGAATTGGTCGCCACTGAATAGCAGGAGTCAAATTCATCTTATAATAAATAAGAATCATGATAATACTGTAATAATTATCAACAAAGTGAGATTTTTTTAAGAACGATTTAAAGGCTATCGTTTAATGCTGCATATAGATCATCCCAAGCAGGGTTTTGTCATTCCCAATGAAACGTGCAGATGAATGTAAACGTGAAATGATTTATCAAATTGTAATTGAGTCGTCTGTATAGCACAGTAGTTGAGGATATTTTTTTATTTTACACTTTTATTAAATGCAGCACCTCGATTAAAAATGAAGTTACACAATTAGGTTTGCAAAAACCCTATCATCTAGTGCCAAAACAGTTAAGTTTTTGTTGTTTTTTTGTTTTTTTGTTTTTGTTTTTGTTTTTTTTTCTCCAAAAAGAAGTAAGGGTTTAATGCATATACTCAGTAAGTGTCAAGGCTTTGGGAATGATTTCAGGATGATAAATCACCACTTGATGGCAGAAGTGGCTTTGATCAGATCTTGGTCCACACATCGTGTGAGTGTGTGTACACAGAATTGCGATACCATGTGGTGAGGTGGCGTGTGGTGGTGAGAACATGGATAAATACCAGCAGCTAACTCTACAAACATAGCTTTTTCAAATAAAAAAAGATGACTAAGTCCCATTGTCATCCTTGTCACGTGTGAGCAATTCCCCAAAAACAACATCGACCACCGATGTCAGACTCAACATGTTTGACACAGTCGCTTGAAGCTGACTCTTCAAGCGACTATTGCCCATCCGGATCACCTGAGAGCAGCAGACCATCATCTCCTGAGCTCCCAGAAAGTCATGAAAGAGGTCAGAAGCAGCTCCTATATTTTGTTGTTCTACTTCTTCCTTTCATAACTTTGCTGCTGTGAATTGGGAATTTCTCCATTGCGAGACTAATAAAGGTTTTTCTTCTTCTTAAAAGAACTTGCTAACCTCAGAGCAAACGACCATTGTCTGAGTTGTTACTACGGCTACCATTTGTATCATGTAACGTGCAAAAATAAGAATAAATATGTCCTACAATAAAATAAGATGTGTACAAATTATGCATCGTCTGGTGTGTGTGTGTGTGTGTGTGTGTGTGTGTGTGTGTGTGTGTGCGTGCGCGCGCGTGCGCGCGTGCGTGTATTTAATATTTATTACCTTTTTGCGTGTGTGTATGTAATATTTATTCCCTTTTCTAATTGCAATGTAGCAACATAAATAGTCTGTTGTTATTGACCAGATTTCTATAAATTGGAGGTGGTGCATCCATCATCATTGAGAGACCTGTGATCAAGAAAGGTGAAAAAACAATTCTCCGCTTCACATAGTGTTCAAGAAACAAACAAGTTTGCTCACAATTGTTTAAACACAAGCCAGTAGTCTGCCACACAGCAGATGCTATATGTGTAAACCGCTCACAGTTCCACGGCTCAAAACATTTTTGGGACTTTTATTCCAGGTTTTGAAAAAAAACAAACAAACAACCCCCCCCCCCCCGAAAACCCGGCTCTTGAGGAAGCCGATGCCACAATTTTTTTCTGGCAAACTCCTCAGAGGAAGGTCGAAACCGGACTCGACCAATCTGTCTAACTTTGAAGGCGTTGTACCGCCACCTAGCTCTTATTCTGGAATCACTTTCCGTATGCCAGTATCAAGCGCTCCTATTGGCTCCTACTTTGGCCAACGAAGTGCGATGTTGTATGCGGCACTCCTTTCCATGTGGGAACTGGTAGCTACTACCTTACAACCAAAAAGAAACATGGTAAGGTTTTTCTGACTCACTCATTTTCGACAAGTGAAATTCAGTTATATTGTTGAACAAGAGGATGGTGCCAATGCCAACGCTCGCTTAAGTAGAAAAGCGTGTCGGTATGTTTCGTGTTGTCTGTGAACGTCTCAGACGATACGGTTTAACTGAAGCGTGACAACCCAGCCATAAGAAAATACTTTATAGACGCAGTTTGGTCGAGGGGAGCATCTCGTTTAGCAGATATTAATTACGTACTAAGTCAAATATATTTGGTATTGTGAATAATGTGTAAATAAATATCAATATGCAACACTTAATTTCTATAAATCTCTGTAAACAGAAACATTTTCAAATAACTTCACTGGTGAGCTGTTTTTAGAACCGACCCACGGGCTACTCGTGTGGTTCTTGAGGCTGCCAAAACGTTGGTGACCTCTGTCGTAGACAATAATACTGTTAATCAGTTGGAGAACTCTTAGTTGTCTGTTGTGATGTGGCGTTATGATCAAAACATTTCTTTTAGGTTTTATTCGTAAAGCGAAAAGGGCAAACTTTGCGGGCGGGCGGCGTGTTTAATATAGATTGCAAGCAATGTCAAAGAATGAGCAATTTGATTTTGATGTTCCTTTCCATTTGATGTGATGGCTTTGTGGTGTGATATTGATAGCTTCGTCGAGAGGTGAGACTGAGGCGGGAGTACTTGTACAGGAAGGCACAAGAAGACAGGCTGCGAACAATTGAAGAGAAGAAACAGAAGCTGAAGGGTGCTCTCGATGGTATGGATGGCTTACTCTTCATATAAACGGAATAGTGTCATGGATGATATCGACCTCACATTATTTTTTCTTCCTGTAGAAAACTGTCTGCTTCCAACTGAGGTACGCAAAGATGCACTGCAGCTCCAGAAACTTCTGGAGTATGATGATGGTGGTGCAGAGGGTTAGTGTTGCTTTCATGGCTATAACCAAATATCTGATGATTATACGCTATTGATGCCTTTCATTTATGTTACGACATTGTCTCTCTGGAAGGTGTCAGCTCACATATGGATGATGAGTACAAATGGGCTGGAGTTGAAGATCCAAAAGTCCTTGTCACCACCTCCAGAGACCCGAGTTCGAGACTCAAAATGTTTGCTAAGGTTTGGCTCAGTTGTTTCGGAGGCATTCCTAAACAACTTAACACTTTAAAACAAAGTAGCATAGTAGCATAGAGAGAGTGAGAATTTCCATTTACAATGTCTGAAATATGAATGAAAAGTCATTGTTCCTCATGTTGGCATGCATTATGTCCAATCTGTGTTTCTGACCATCAGCTTGTCCTTTAGTGGTAGATACTGCTAAAAACACATATTTAAATGTTTCTCTTTAGTACTGAATTTTGAATTAGACTCCTCATAAAAAGTTGGGGATATTTGGCTTTCAAGGGAAATGTATGCAGAGATGAAAGTCCTCCGGATTTTGCCGGAATTCCGGGTTTTTCAAATTTTTATGAAACTCTCTCTGGAGAATTGAGGAAAATTTCCCTAAAATTAATCCGGATATTAGTTGACAACATTGAACGAAGACGCGTTTGAGTTCGTTGTTTTGCTTTCACGAGCGTAGCCATGTTAAGACACGAACACTAGTAACAGTAGAGATTTTCGTCTCTTTATAAACACACTTGCTAAACCCCAGTGGAACAAATAAAAGACATGGTGGACAAGACAGTTGTCGTAAAAAATATATTCGGACAAAAAGGGAAACACACAGATTGGCAGAAAAACGTGTCTGTCCGACTTCGAGTGTCGTCTCGGCTAGCTTACCCTAGCTGTGTGTGTTACGTCGGGTGTGTGACGTCGGGTGTGTGACGTCGTTGCGTCGGCGCAGATTGGTTGAAATCAAAAGATGCGCTTGCGTACATGTTCGCGCTGAAGCACGCACAGCAGAGAGCAGCGGACTCTCGACTGCTGAGGCTCGCTTAGCTTGAGTGGCGTCGCCACAACAGTAATACCCTCGCCTCGTATTCTCAAGGCCTCGCAATATCTCGGAGAGTTCAAAATTTCGTCAAGAACGGAAGCCACAAAGGGTGCAAAGATTAATCATTGAATGTCGAGTATTTGAATAGCGTTTTGTGTAAACTAATTCATGCGTGATCGGCCAGGTGTGTGCGCGCGCGCGTGCGTGCGTGCGTGCGTGCGTGCGTGCGTGCGTGCGTGTG